CTCTATTATGGATGATATTGGTCGCGAAAGCCTACGTGTTAAAATGTCCACTTGATAAGCCACTTCGTTGAGCTATCGTTTGTGGCCAGGTCGCTTCTGAAAAATCGATATGCAGCTCAGTGGGCCTTAGCTGGTAAAAATAAAATGAAAAAAGTTGTTTAGTTTGTAGCGGAGCAGGTAGTGTTGATCAGTGGTTCTCAACCGGGGGCGTATGCAGACCCCTGGGGGCACTACGTGGCAATGTGCCAGGGGGTACGTGAGGTGATTCATAAATGTGTGAAATTATATCATACATCAGAGTCATTGGTGAATAATTACGTAGGAATCTGGCAATATAAAATAACTACGATAAAAATCTCGATTTGAAGCTTTCGTGACTGCAGGAATCCATGCTGTGATTGTCTCACCTGATGACGGTCGCTTGTGTTGCGATCGAAACGTCGTCATCTATTATTTTCTACCCACGTGACTTTAACGAAAGAATCAAAGAGTGCGATGAAAATGTAAACCTATTTGATAACCTAGAACGACATAAAATACCTTTCTAAACTCATTGATTGTAAACAATGTGGTTTCTAATAGTTAGCAGCGAGTGTGAACAAACGACGTCATGCATGCAGAGCATCCGTTGAATTTGTGTTATTCGCTTGCAGTTACTAACGAGTTAGAGGATAACATCACAAGGTGGACAAGTGGTTAAAATATTGATATTCATTATTCGTTACTTTTATTTCCCAGAACCACATTGGGTCCGGCAAGGGAGGGACGACTCGGTTGAAACGAAATTCAACAAGGGGGGTACAGCAGCAGGCAAACAAGGCTGAGCTCCACTGCTGTGTGGATGGATGTGCAGGGTGATTATGAACAACTTCTGCTGCAGCAGCAGGGAGGTGGGAGCCGACTGCTGCACGACCCTGACAGCGCCAATCACAGCCCAGTGGCGACGTCACGGGGTACAGCAGACAGCAGACACAATGCACGGACCAGAGTGACGAATATTTAAACCGACAAGGATGCATTGAATCATCTCTCGTCTTGCTGTCCTTCCTCCACCCAGCCCCCAATCTCGCTTTCGCTCCTTCTCGCCGCTTGCCTCCTTCCACTGGAACAAACTCCCTCTCCACATGCGACTCTTCCCCCTCGCTTTCCTCTTCTAGCACTGCCCTCGGCTCGTCCTGTCTCTTTTCTCTACCTCGCATTTCCTCTTCCGCTACCCCTACCAGCACCACCTCGACGTCCTTGACGCCTCCACTGCCGCAGCCTCCACCTCGCCCCCGCCACCCGAGTCACGAACCGATCCCCATTCCTTATCTTGCCATTCTGTACTGTAGTCAGCAAGCATTGTTAAGCGCCTTGGTGAAAGGCGCTTTATAAATGCGGAACAGAATGAGAGTAAAACGAGGCTGTATTCCCTCACTGGCGTAATTACAGGTGCAGCAGAACTCGATGCCTTGCAATTGGTGTCAAATTGGTGTCTTTACATCTCAACACCTCCCGTGTTTACGCCATAAAGTACCGAGCCTATTGCACTATTCACTCTCGTGACACGGGCGACATGATCCCGTAGCTGCGTAACGAGGACATTAAGTGGTCTGTCTCGCCCGCAAGCAACTGGTTGCAGCGGAGACGTGCAACGCGTACTCGAGCGAGTCCTTTTCGTGCAACCGAGTTGCACGCAACTGATCGGCCAGCATGTTGGAGACGCGTGGCCGGGACTGTGGCGCTTTGATGATCTGGAGGAGGAGGGAGGCAGGGGTTGAGAGCCGGGGGGTAATTCCCCTCGTGAGATTGCCTCACACCGCTCGTTAATTATCGCGAGCCTCTTCAGCCGCACCTGCGCCAGTCGCAGTTACCTCGCATAAACAAAACAACTCTGCCACGTGAAGTGCTCATGGCAAAAATGGGCCATTGCCCGAAACGTCGCTCATTACATGTATATTGCTGACCCGCCCATACTAGACGTCCGTGAGAAAAAGAGCTTTACAGGTCATCGGATTCCTCCTGCAGTTTAATAAAGACTGATTCTGATCTGGATGTTTCCCCTGCATAGAGCAGCGTTAGTGGTGGCTGTGTTGAGTTGTTTCTGCTCGCGCACCACTGCTAATGCAGCGTCACCAAACAACCTGGCATGCTCACTAAGGACAGCTGTTGTGGTGATCAGAAGGCATTTACTGTCCAACCTCAAACCGCACCTTTGATTAGCACGGGCGGCTACGTACGGTGCGAAAGAAGTTCAACATTAAAACTAAACTTGTTTTTGTTATTTTACCAGGTAAGGCTCCACTGAGCAATTCGCTTCTTTTTTAGAAGCAACCTGGCCACAAATAATAGCTCAACGAAGTGGCTTGTCACGTGGACACATATAGCAGCCAAATACTCTAAGCGCATGTTGTTGATTTTTATAAATGTGCAGGGAAAAAGCGAAGGACCTGGATAAAAATCCACGCAACACTCGAGGAGAAAGACACGCCAACTATACAGGCGCGCGTTCACACAAACCGAGGGGGAGAGACGAGAGGCAGAATTCACTGCGCAGTGGAGACCCAAGAGAGGGAGAGAGAAGTAGTGGCGGTGGGGAGGGGGCCATAGACCGGGGGTGGCGGCGTAGGCAGCAGCAGCAGCGAGGCGCCACTGCCGAGTTGGGAGGCCGGGCACGGAGCGGAGCAGCCGGGGGCGTGGTGGTGGTGGGGGAGCGGACCTCTTGCCAGCAGTGGGGAGTTCTCGGCTCACAACGACAACAATAACGGCAACTATGGCAACTGCATCACGCAAGTCGCGGTTTAATACAGCATGTCAGCAGGGTGAGTGAGAGTGTGAGTGAAGCAACTGGAAACAGTTGATTCCTTCTAGAACTGATCATCAAGAGGCCACTGTTCATCATTGCAAGGCCCGCGGGCCACTGGCGGCCCCTAGTGGCCTTTAGTGAGGCCCCTGACGTGCGGCCCCCGACAATACAGCACGTGACACCCTCCTCCCGCCATCATTATCGTGCGACTGTCAAACTCAACAATAGTTTCATATATGTGGCGGCCCTCACACTATTGATGACGTCGTATCGGCGAAAGTGGCCCCCCCATTGAAAATTAGTGAAGCACACTGATCAATACACTTGATAATCTTTTGCTGATTTTCCGGAATCGATCATCTTGGCTTGATCTTCGAGCATTGGTCATCGACTGAGATTATCTACCATCGTCTCTCCCCAAGTTCTTACTACCGTGCTCATTTCAAGAAATGCGTTGACTCTCATCGACCAAAACAACCAATATTGCCTGAATCGCCTGAGGATGCTGGTTGCGATAACCAGTTAAACGTGGTGCTCAATAGTAAAGGGTGTGGGTTTGCTCTCTGACACACAACCATCCAGTGGTGCGAACGTAGTCAGGCATTGCCACGTTTCGTGTACGTGACAAACTTACCTATTGGCTGAGTCGGGAGGAGGTAGGTGTACAACAAATTTACATTTACGTGATCTAAACCAAACAGCATTATAATGAGTAACATTGGTCGCGAAGCCTCCTTGTTAAATTAACACAACGCCATTTGCCGTGACCCCTCCGTGTTAAATTTACACAACGCCATTGGTCGTGACCCCTCCGTGTTGAATTTACACAACACCATTGGTCGTGACCCCTCCGTGTTAAATCTACACAACGCCATTGGTCGTGACCCCTCCGTGTTAAATTTACACAACGCCATGGGTCGTGACCCCTCCGTGTTGAATTTACACAACGCCATTGGTCGTGACCCCTCCGTGTTAAATTTACACAACACCATTGGTCGTGACCCCTCCATGTTAAATCTACACAACGCCATGGGTCGTGACCCCTCCGTGTTAAATTAACACAACGCCATTTGCCGTGACCCCTCCATGTTAAATTTACACAACGCCATTGGTCGTGACCCCTCCGTGTTGAATTTACACAACACCATTGGTCGTGACCTCTCCGTGTTGAATTAACACAACGCCATTGGCCGTGACCCCTCCGTGTTAAATCTACACAACACTATTGGCCGTGACCCCTCCGTGTTAAATTTACACAACACTATTGGCCGTGACCCCTCCGTGTTAAATTTACACAACGCCATTGGTCGTGACCCCTCCGTGTTGTATTAACACAACTCCATTGGTCGTGACCCCTCCGTGTTAAATCTACACAACGCCATGGGTCGTGACCCCTCCGTGTTGAATTAACACAACGCCATTGGCCGTGACCCCTCCGTGTTAAATCTACACAACACCATTGGCCGTGACCCCTCCGTGTTAAATTTACACAACGCTATTGGTCGTGACACCTCCGTGTTAAATTTACACAACGCCATTGGTCGTGACCCCTCCGTGTTAAATCTACACAACACCATTGGTCGTGACCCCTCCGTGTTAAATCTACACAACGCCATTGGTCGTGACCTCTCCGTGTTGAATTTACACAACGCCATTGGTCGTGACCCCTGCGTGTTAAATTTACACAACCCCATTTGCCGTGACCCCTCCGTGTTAAATCTAAACAACGCCATTGGTCGTGACCCCTCCGTGTTAAATCTACACAACGCCATTGGTCGTGACCCCTCCGTATTAAATTTACACAACGCCATTGGTCGTGACCCCTCCGTGTTAAATCTACACAACGCCATTGGCCGTGACCCCTCCGTGTTAAATCTACACAACGCCATTGATCGTGAAACCTCCGTGTTAAATCTACACAACGCCATTGGCCGTGACCCCTCCGTGTTAAATCTACACAACGCCATTGGTCGTGACCCCTCCGTGTTAAATCTACACAACATTATTGGTCGTGACCCCTCCGTGTTAAATCTACACAACGCCATTGGCCGTGACCCCTGCGTGTTGGGCTGTAGGCGCCCCCGTATGGTCACGAGCGCACACTGCATCGCCAGGAGCTGCAGGTATTGTCGTAAAATCGCCAAATCGCCACGGACCCTTGCGCGATTTGTGCGTCGCGCTCGCTGGGATCAGCGAGCGCGACGCACAAATACTTGGAGGAAGACGGTGCTGTACAAGTCGTACATCTTATCAAATATTTACGGACCCCGTTGTATCTTTGGAGTCGTACATTTTGTCAAATATCCGCGGACCCTTGTTGCGTCTTTGTGGAGTCGTACATTTTTTTGTCAAATTTCCGCGGACCCTCAGTCAGCCTGCACGCGTGTGGCTGTGTTGGTCGAGCGAGTGGGCGGGGTGCCGCGCCAGTGTTGTACTGTACTTGTGCGTCCCCTCCTGCGGCCCTGGCACACGCCGTGGCTGCGGCGATGTCGGCCGTGGCGCGGCGCGCGTGCGCTCGCTACGCGCACTGCGTGAGCCGCCACCCCGAGCTCACAGCGCAGCTGGAGAGCGGCTTCCGCAGCCTGTCGTACGTGATCGCGGGTGCGTGGTGCAAGGATGGGGGACGGCGGGAGCGACACACACAGACACACATACAGACACACAGAGACACACACAGAGACACATACAGACACACACAGAGACACATACAGACACACACAGAGACACATACAGACACACAGAGACACACACACAGACACATACAGACACACAGAGAGACACATACAGACACATACAGACACACAGAGACACAGAGACACACACAGAGACACACATACAGACACACAGACACACAGAGACACATACAGACACACAGAGACACATACAGACACACATACAGACACAGACACACAGAGACACATACAGACACACAGAGACACATACAGACACACAGATATACAGAGACACACACAGAGACACACACAGACACACACACAGACACACACACACACACAGAGACACACACACAGATATACAGAGACACACACAGACACACACAGACACACATACAGACACACAGATATACAGAGACACACACAGACACACATACAGACACAGACACACACAGATATACAGAGACACACACACAGACACACAGACACACACAGATATACAGAGACACACACAGACACACAGAGACACATACAGACACACACAGACACACAGACACACACACAGACACACAGATATACAGAGACACACACAGACACACAGAGACACACACACAGACACATACAGACACACACACACAGACACACAGACAGACACACATACAGACACACACAGACACAAAGATCCCCCATATAGCCTTAACAGACTGTTGGGGCAAGTGCTGTTAGCGAGCACCTATGAAGGCCGGAACGGTACACGAGGGGCTGGGTGGCCAGCACCACGCCCGATCACACAGACACACACACACATACAGACACAGACACAGAGACACAGACACACACAGACACACACAGACACAGACACGCATACAGAGACACATACAGACACAGAGACACATACAGACACATACAGACACACAGAAACACATACAGACACAGAGAGACACATACAGAGACACACACACAGACACACACAGACACACAGAGACACATACAGACACATACAGACAAATACAGACACACAGAGACACATACAGACACACAGAGACACACACAGACACACAGAGACACATACAGACACACAGAGACACACATACAGACACACAGAGACACACATACAGACACACATACAGACACACAGAGACACATATAGACACACAGAGACATTTACAGACACACACAGACACACATACAGACACACAGATATACAGAGACACACACAGACACACACAGACACACAGATATACAGAGACACACACACAGACACACACACAGACACACACAGATATACAGAGACACACACAGACACACAGACACATACAGACACACACAGACACACACACAGACACACACAGACACAGATATACAGAGACACACACAGACACACAGAGACACACACACAGACACATACAGACACACACACACATACAGACACACAGACAGACACACACAGACACAAAGATCCCCCATATAGCCTTAACAGACTGTTGGGGCAAGTGCTGTTAGCGAGCACCTATGAAGGCCGGAACGGTACACGAGGGGGTGGGTGGCCAGCACCACGCCCGATCACATAGACACACACACACAGACACACACAGACACAGACACGCATACAGAGACACATACAGACACAGAGACACATACAGACACACATACAGACACACAGAGACACATACAGAGACACACACAGACACACACACAGACACACAGAGACACATACAGACACATACAGACACACAGAGACACATACAGACACACAGAGACACACAGAGACACATACAGACACACAGAGACACACACAGACACACAGAGACACATACAGACACACAGAGACACACATACAGACACACAGAGACACACATACAGACACACAGAGACACATATAGACACACAGAGACACATACAGACACACACAGACACACAGAGACACATACAGACACACAGAGACACACACAGACACACACAGACACAGAGACACGTACAGACGCACAGAGACACACACAGACACACAGAGACACACACACAGAGACACATACAGACACACACAGACACACACAGACACACAGAGACACAGACACACAGACGCACAGAGACACATACAGACACACAGAGACACACAGAGACACATACAGACACACAGAGACACATACACACAGAGACACATACACACAGAGACACATACAGACACACAGAGACACATACAGACACACAGAGACACACAGACGCACAGAGACACACAGAGACACATACAGACACACACAGAGACACACAGAGACACATACAGACACACAGAGACACACATACAGACACACATACAGACACAGAGACACATACAGACACACAGAGACACAGACAGACACACAGAGACACAGACACAGACGCACAGAGACACATACAGACACACAGAGACACACAGAGACACGTACAGACACACAGAGACACGTACAGACACACAGAGACACGTACAGACACACAGAGACACACAGAGACACACAGAGACACACACAGACACACACAGACACACAGAGACACGTACAGACACACAGAGACACGTACAGACACACAGAGACAGACACAGAGATACGTTCAGACACACAGAGACACACAGAGACACACAGAGACATACAGACACACACAGAGACACATACAGACACACAGAGACACATACAGACACACAGAGACACACACAGACACACAGAGACACACACAGACACACCGAGACACAGACACACAGACGCACAGAGACACATACAGACACACACAGACACACACAGACACACATACAGACACACATACAGACACACAGAGACACATACAGACACACAGAGACACACACACACAGACGCACAGAGACACATACAGACACACAGAGACACGTACAGACACACAGAGACACAGACGCACAGAGACACACACAGACACACAGAGACACGTACAGACACACAGAGACACGTACAGACACACAGAGACACACAGAGACACGTACAGACACACAGACACACAGAGACACATACAGACACACAGAGACACGTACAGACACACAGAGACACGTACAGACACACAGAGATACGTACAGACACACAGAGACACACACAGACACACAGAGACACATACAGACACACAGATACACACACAGACACACAGAGACGCACAGAGACACACACAGAGACACGTACAGACACACAGAGATACGTACAGACACACTGAGTCACACACAGACACACAGAGACACATACAGACACACAGAGACACGTACAGACGCACAGGGACACACATACAGACACACAGAGACACATACAGACACACAGAGACAGACACACAGACGCACAGAGACACATACAGACACACAGAGACACATATAGACACACAGAGACACTTACAGACACACACAGACACACAGATATACAGAGACACACACAGACACACATACAGACACACAGACACACACAGATACACAGAGACACACACACAGACACACAGACACACACACACACAGACACACACAGATATACAGAGACACACACAGACACACAGAGACACATACAGACACACACAGACACACACACAGACACACACAGACACACAGATATACAGAGACACACACAGACACACAGAGACACACACACAGACACATACAGACACACACACATACAGACACACAGACACACAGACAGACACACATACAGACACACACAGACACAAAGATCCCCCATATAGCCTTAACAGACTGTTGGGGCAAGTGCTGTTAGCGAGCACCTATGAAGGCCGGTACGGTACACGAAGGGGTTGGTGGCCAGCACCACGCCCGATCACACAGACACACACAGACACACACAGACACAGACACGCATACAGAGACACATACAGACACAGAGACACATACAGACACACATACAGACACACAGAAACACATACAGACACACAGAGACACATACAGAGACACACACAGACGCACACAGACACACAGAGACACATACAGACACATACAGACACACAGAGACACATACAGACACACAGAGACACACAGAGACACATACAGACACACAGAGACACACACAGACACACACAGACACATACAGACACACACAGACACACACAGACACACAGAGACACAGACACACAGACGCACAGAGACACATACAGACACACAGAGACACACAGAGACACATACAGACACACAGAGGCACATACACACAGAGACACATACACACAGAGACACATACACACAGAGACACATACAGACACACAGAGACACACAGACGCACAGAGACACACAGAGACACATACAGACACACACAGAGACACACAGAGACACATACAGACACACAGAGACACACATACAGACACACATACAGACACAGAGACACATACAGACACACAGAGACACAGACAGACACACAGAGACACAGACACAGACGCACAGAGACACATACAGACACACTGAGACACACAGAGACACGTACAGACACACAGAGACACGTACAGACACACAGAGACACGTACAGACACACAGAGACACACACAGACACACACAGACACACAGAGACACGTACAGACACACAGAGACACGTACAGACACACAGAGACACGTACAGACACACAGAGACAGACACAGAGATACGTTCAGACGCACAGAGACACACAGACACACAGAGACACACAGAGACATACAGACACACACAGAGACACATACAGACACACAGAGACACATACAGACACACAGAGACACACACAGACACACAGAGACACACACAGACACACCGAGACACAGACACACAGACGCACAGAGACACATACAGACACATACAGACACACACAGACACACACAGACACACACAGACACACATACAGACACACATACAGACACACAGAGACACATACAGACACACAGAGACACACATACACAGACGCACAGAGACACATACAGACACA